TCGACTCGATTACGACATTGCGAGGTTTTCCTCTCGCTAACAGGCCGCGCCCTCGACACTCAGGAATCACGCTCTCGCTGTGGATGTTCTTACGATTTACTTGGGAATCGTACTATCGCTGGAGACTTCCTCACGATTCATGCAGGATGCACGCTTCAGCAACCCGCCTGCTCGACCTGGCCGCCAGGGCCCGCCCTCCCGATCCGACCGTTAGGGTCTGCCCGCCCGATCTGCCCGTTTGGTTCTGCCACGTGCGCTCTGCTCCTAGCCCCCCTCCTGCTACTCTATCTCGTGCTCCGTCCTCCTCCCTCCCCCTTGTCCGTTCCTTCCATCCGTCCTCTCTTCCCCTGCCTTAGGGGCTGCACGGAATACATACTGCAGGTAAGAAAGATACATATCCCCAAGGAGGTACGATCGAAGACGGGGAGGGCGGGTATCGAGGGTTTGTCGAATGGCACGCACCCAGATAAGAGCGAACAGTATTTAAACGGCTGTTGTTGTTGTCGTCGTCGTCGTTGTCGACGAACTCTCAGTACTGAAGAAGAACTAGTAGTGATTCAATTGTTTATTGAAATGCCCGTCCTGGGGCCCGCACCCTGTTCCCTACCTCGGCTCTGCCTAGAAGGGTTCTTACTCTCTATCTTAAAGGGGCCGGGCAGTGGAAATCGCCCCCGGCGGTTCCCCCAGGATCCGCCCCGCGGTTCCCCCAGTTACGTCCCCTTAGCTTAGCGTTGTTTACCTCATCTTAGTTTAGCTTATTTCATCTCAGCTTAGCTTAGCTTCATCTTAGCTCAGGCGTCTCTTAGCGTAGCTTACCTTCATGCTAGCTTCGCTGAGCTCTAGCATAGCAGAGCACAGCATAGCGTAGCGTAGCATAGCATAGCGCAGCATATCATATCATAGCATAGCACAGCATAGCATAGCACAGCATATCATAGCGCAGCACAGCACAGCATAGCACTGCGCAGCATAGCATAGCATGGCAGAGCAGAGCATAGCAGCAAAGCAAAGGCAACAAAACAGCAGCGACTGCAAAGCAAAGCACAAGCAACGCAAAGCAAAGCAAAGCAAGATCATTAGCATGGGTGTAAGTTCCTACCTAGGCTCGACCCAGAGGGTTAGCTTAGCTTAGTTTAGCTTAGCATAGCGCAGCGCTGCATTAGCATAGCATAGCATAGCATACCATAGCCAATCATAGCATAACATAGCATAGCATAGCGCAGCATAGCATAGCGTAGCATAGCATATCATATCACAGCTTAGCATAGCATAGCATAGCATAGCGCAGCATAGCATAGCATAGCATATCATAGCATAGCATAGCATAGCGCAGCATAGCATGGCATAGCATAGTATAGCACAGCAACTAATGCTGCTTTCCTAGGGGCTCCAGCTTCTAGGTAGGGTCGCACTGGGGTAATGTTTAACAAGGGGACGCCTTGGGTCTCAGAATCGGGCCCCTGGACCCCCAGTCGAGTTACAACAACAACAGTCACAACAATGGCTCCCGCCTGATATTTCCCCACAGTGTATTCCCAAATCGTGCTCTCGCGCGGGACGTCCGCATAAGTTATGCAGACATCGCGCTCTCGCGTTGGATTTCTGTCGTATTCAGACGCCGCGCTCTCGACATTCAGGAATCACGCCCTCGCTTTGGCATGTCTAGCGATTTCGTTGGGAATCGCGCTATCGCTCTCTTCCCTTGCCGTAGGGGCTGCATGACATACACGTTGCAGGTAAGAAATATAATCCCCCAAATTGGTACGATCGAAGACGGAAAGGGCGGGTATCGAGGGCTTGGGATATACGTGTTGATTGGCACGCGCGCAGATAAGAGCGAACACTATTAAACTGACGGTCGATGCTGTTGAAGTAGATTTGCAATTTCTTTAGAACATTTCTTGTTGATACCCCTCCTGTAACCGTTGTATGTTTCAACGAAAGTGCTTCTCCAGGGGCGCACCTTTTTTTTTGTTTGAAAAAAACAGCGGCAAGCGAGGTGTCACCAACTTGTGCCCCTGGACCGCGGTATACAAGAACAACGGCTCCCACCACATACTTCCTCACACTGTATTCCCAAATCGCGCTCTCGCGCGGGATATCCTGACAATGTATACAGGAATCGCGCTCGCGCTTGGGACTTCCCGCAATTCATGTAGGCACCGCGCCCTCGACACTCAGGAATCACCCTCTCGCTGAGGATTTCCCCACGATTCACTTGGGAATCGCGGTCTCACTCGAAAGTTTCTCGCGATTCGTGCAGGACGCACGCTTCAGCAACCCGCCTGCCCTTGGTCCCTTCCTTCCATCCGTCCTCTCTCCCTTTGCCTTAGGGGCTGCACGAAATTCACGATGCAGGTAAGAAAGATATACCCCTACAGGGGCACGATCGAAGACAGCTAGGGCGGGTATCGTCGGTTTGGGACATACAAGTTGAATGGCACGCATGCAGATAGTAGCGAACAACATTTGACTTGTTGTTGCTGTCGAAGAAGAGTTTTTTATTTCTAAAACAACAACTACAAGTTCCACGTTTCAATCCAAGTGCTTCCCCAGCGTGTCGCACCGTGCTTTTCACAACGGGAAGCGAGATGTCACCAAATTATGCCCCTGGCCCGTGAGCATGTAAGCAGATGAGAGCACACAGTCGTAACACGCTGTTTATTGTTGCTGCTGCTGTTGTTGCTGCGTTCTCATTTATACATATCAAGCAGTGTTGATCACCCTCTGGTAACCATTGCATTTTCCATGTAAAGTGCTGCCTTTCAATGTGCAAAAAAATCGAGGTCTCTCGCGGGATTCCCTCACTCGCAATTTATTTAGACGCGCGCCCTCGACACTCAGGAATCACGTTCTCGCTTTGGCCCTTTCTTGCGGTTTCCTCGGGGATCACGGTGCCGCTTGAGATTCCCTCGCGATTCATGCAGGACGCACGCTTCAGCAACTTGCCTGCTCGACTTGGCCGCCTGGGCCCGCTTTTCCGACCCGCCCGCTAGGGTCTGTCCGCCTGGTTTGCCCGTCTGGTTTTGCCGCGCGTGTTCGCTCCCAGCCCCCCTCCTGCTAATTTCTCTCGTGCTCCGTCCTTCTCGCTCCCCCTTCCATCCGCCCTTTCTTCTGCTGTTTTAGGGGCTGCGCTCAATGCACGTACCAGGTAAGGAAGATATACCCCCAAGGGGGTATGATCAGACGAAGAGGGCAGGTACCGAGGGTTTGGGGTATACGTGTTGAGTGGCACGAGAGTGCATACGAGCGAACAGTCTCAACAGGGTTCCAATCGCTTCGCTCACTCCGCCGGCCCATATTGTGCCATCGCGGGCGTTTACCTGTGCGTTAGTGGCCTTTTGGAGGCCGTTTGGGGGCATTTTGAAATATATGTTTGGGCCTTTTGGCGGAATTTCTGGGACCTCCTGGGGCGTCACGGGGGCCTCTTGGGGGCCTCTTGGGGGCCTCTTGGGGCCTCTCGGGGGCCTCTTGGGGTCTTCTTGGGGGCCACTTGGGGCCTTCAGGGGACCTCTTTGCGCCTAGAGCTCGAAATGTCCTTTCGGGTCCCTCGTCTGGGCGCGTTCTTGGAGCCGTCTTAGGAGCCTCTATGAGCGAACAGTCTTAACATGAGTATGTGTGTTGAAGTTGTTGTTGCTACTGCTGATGCTACTGCTGTTGCTGTTGCTGTTGTTGTGGTTGTTGTTGAGGTTGCGGCTGTTGAACTTTCATTTCTGAAGACTAAGTATTGTTGATCCCCCTCACCAGTGCATATTATTTTTTCTCAATCAAAGTGTGCCCCTCGACGCTCGCACCCTGTTGTTTTGACAGGAAGTCTGCCTGCTTAAACTGGGGCTCTGGTCCCCCGGATTACAACAACAACAACGGCTCCCGCCTGAGTTTTCCTCCAAGTTTACTCAGGACCGCCGCTCCTGAGACCTCCTCACAATTTACTCAGGATCGGTGCTTCCGCTTGTGACTTCCTCGCAATTTCGTCAGGACCCCTGCTCCCATCTGAGACTTTCTCATCATTTACTCAGGAACGGCGCTCCCGCTTGAGACTTCCTCGCAATTGAGCCAAGACTTCCTCGCAATTTAATCAAGACCCCCTCTCCTGCCAGAGAACCCCTCACATGTTATTCGGGAATTGCGCTCTCGCCTGTGACTTCCATGCAGAAGTGGCGCCTTCGCCAAGGACGCCGTTACAATTTACTTAGTAATCGCGCTCTCGCCATACTCAGGCATCCCGCTTGAATGTCCCACCCTCCCGACCCGCCCGTCATTGGATCGCCCGCCCGTCGTGGCCTCCCGCCCGAGACTTCCTTCAGGAACGGCGCTTTCGCCTAGGACTCCCTCGAAAGTTCACGATTTTACATTCCTGCTCCTCCTCCCTCTCCCTCCTCCCTCCTCCCTCCTCTCCTCCCTTCTCTCTCCCTCCTCTCTCTCCCACCTCTCCTCCCTTCTCTCTCCCTCCTCTTTTCCCTCATACCTCAAGGATGCCTCCTCTCCCTCCTCCCTTCTCCCTCCCTTCTCCTGCCTCCTCCCTCCCTCTTTCTTTCTCTCCCCTCTCTCTCTCTCTCTTTCTCTACCTCTCTTATCTGTCTTTCTTTCTTTATTTCTCTCTCTCTCTCTCTCTGCCTCGAATCAACCGCCCCCCCTTCGCTCTTCCTCCCACTCTCCCTCGTTCTCCCCCTCCTCTTTTTGCAGGGCCCACACCAATTCCAATGGCGGGCACATGCACGCCCACGAAGGATCGTCCGCCCGTTCAGGTTTGCCCGCCTGTCTAAGCCCGCCGCCCTCCGCAAAAAGAAATAATCCCCCCAAAGGGGGTGTGATCGAAGACAAAAAGAGCGGGTATCGAGGGTGTGGGGAACTCGTATTGAATGGCACACTGGCAAGTAAGAGCGAACAGTCTTACAATGATAGTTGTTGCTGTTGCTGTTGCTGCTGCTGCTGCTGCTGTTCTTCTTGTTGTTGTAGTATTTGTCGTGCTATGTTGTGTGTGCTACTCCCCTTCTCAGGACCTCACGGCTTCCGCTGTTCCTCGGCTACTGCGTTGGAGTTTGCACGATTTCTCCTGATTTTGTCTGGGCGTCTGTGGTGCTTCCCTCGGTCTGCCTGGACCTGCGCCGGTCCGCGTGCAGCTCTGACTCGACCTTCCTTGCCCAGTCCCCGCAGGTCTGACTGGAGAAGAGCCGTCGGTCGGCAAGGCCTCCGGGGTTGCTGGCCCCCCCGAGAGGAGCGGCCTGAGAAGGTCCACCACCAACAGCATCGACCTCGGCCTCCTCCGGCGAGGTTCCGCCCGGAAGAACACCACCTCGTCCAACGCTGCGATGGTCGACTCTTCCGACGACCTCGCCCCGGTCCAACCCCAGAAATCTGAGCAGGATCGAGATGGGTGTTGATGGTGCACACCTGCACTCCTTAGGGGCAACGTTACGGGGGGCTAGGCTCATGGTGGGATGCATCGACCCCCAATGGCCCATTCATCGCCGAAAGGGGCCCGATAGCCCACCCCGTCCAGGAGCGTGGGGACTCGCTATCGGGGGCATATCGCTGGTCCATCGGCGATGTCTCGCCGATTTCAGGTCGATGGTTCCTCCCCTGAGCCGGTCCCCCCCTGGTGTTCCCTCCGAGCCTTTTCTCTTCTCTCATCAGTATCCGTCCTCCTGCCTCCTCCCTAAGACGACGAAAACGAAGACGAAGCAGGACATGAATCACAACACAATGGCAAAAGAAGTAGAAGCAAGATGACGGCGTGCACACCGATCCTGTCCAGGCCGATCTTTGGCCTGGGATCGGTGTACGCGCCCTGCCGCTCTGGTCAGGTGGGCGTCTGCACTGATCCTGATCCCAGGGTGCAGTCCCAGGGCACGGAGCACGATCGATGCGATCGAGATGAGAGAGGCGGGAGCGAAGCAGAGGGAGAGGGAAAGGATCTGGGTCACGTACCTTCGCGCAGCGTGCCCCGCATTGCGCGAGGCGCGGTCGTCTTCGCGCCTGGGAGTCGAGGGAACGGAAAATACCGATGCCGCTGCTCGTCCTGGAGAGCCCTCGTGTCCACGGCTTGTTTTTCCTTGAAAAGTCTGCCATAGCCCACCCCAGGGGATCCGCACCGGTTGCACTTGACGTCGGGACGGGGAGAAGGAGGAGAAGACCAGAAGCAGTACCTGCTCACCTTGAAGAACATGGCTCGGTGTCAGTATTGCCGTGGACGGTGCCCATTTGGGGCACAGAGCCGCCTGCCCAATAGCGGCCGCGATCGGGCTTGGACAACATTAGCGCTCGGGCATCATGCCTACTTTCCCGTACCCAGTTCGGGCGTGGATTCAGAAGAGGAATCTATATGAACACCGATGCCGCCGTTCGTCCTGGAGAGCCCTCATCGCCGTGGTTGGCTTTTCTTCCGGATTGTGGTTCGAGCTAAATCTCGTGAGCGGACCGAGGAGTAGCGGCAGATGGTATCCATGAAGACGAAAATCAGCATTTGGACGCCCGAAATGGGTACGAAAAGAATGGGTACGATGCCCAACAGCAGTTCTTGTTCATTTTGAACAGGACTCGCTGCCCGCGCCGCCGCGGCCTGTGTCCATTTGAGACAGAAGGCCGCCCGCCCAACAGCGGCCGCTGTTGGTTTTGGACAACTTTTGTTGTTGGGCATTATACCCATTCGTTCCGTACCCATTTCGGGCGTCCAAACAGCAGGGTTGCCCGTTTTGATCTCGGTTCGTTGTCGGTGTTGCAGGTACGGAGAGCATCGTGCATGTTGTCTCGTATCCATTTTGGGCGTCGGAGTCAGAGGAGGAGAAGGCACCGATGCCCCTGTTTGTCTTGGAGAGCCCTCGTGACCACGGCTGCATTCTCCCCGAAATTCTCGCCAGAGTGTATCTCTGACGAGGTGTTGGGAGCAGCCGGGTTTGTTACGATCGAAGTTTGGACGGAACGGATGGGGACGACGACCCGCAGCAGATCCGGCCATTTTTGATAAGGATTCGCCAGCGGTGTTGCCGCGGAGGTCTAGGGAGTAGCCGTATCGTATCGGTTACGATCGAATTTGGGACAGAGAGAATGGGGATGCAGAAGAACAGCAGATCCCGATCGGCGCTTTCTGAATACGACTCGCTATGGTTGTTATCGCGGACGGTGTCCATTGGGGATACCATGCTGCCTTCGCAAGAGAGGTCGCTGCTGTTTTTGGACGGAAGATATCGTTGATCCGTTGTCTGCCATGCTTAGCATCATTTGCTGCGCAGCGCGGCAATTATCTTCTGCTTCCGCCTGCCCATCAGATCACCCCGGGAGAGGTCCAGGGGCAACGGTGACGATCGAAGTTGGGATGGGGAGAATGGGAGCAGAAACCAGCAGCAGCTCCTGCTCATCATGATGAGCAGGACCCAATGTCGGAGCTACCGCACGCCGGCGGTGCCCGCTTGGGACAACAAATCGCCCGCCCAACAGCGGCAGCGGCAGCTGTCGGCTTCGGACAACATTCGCTGCTGGGCATTGCGCCCAATGCTTCTCCACATACCTCTCGGGCGTGCCAGGAGGAGTCGGCGGCGTCCGAAGAGTCCGACGACGACGACAGCCCGAAGCTCACGGCCCCCGAGCCCGACTCCCCGAGTCCGGTGAACGGCGGCAGCTCGGTCTCCGGGCGGCGCCATCGCGAGACCGAGCCTCCCGAGGACGCCTCCTCGGAGGACGTCATCGCGATATAGCCGCAGGCCGCGGCGTGCAACAGGGCCGCCGTGCGCGAAGGCATCCGGCAGGCCCTGGAAATTCGACGTGCCTTGTGGCCTCTGGCGGGCGGACGGTAGCGGGGATTGCCAGGGCACGTATGGAACAGCATGCCAAGCAGGCGGGCGCTTGCCCAACAACGACCGTTGTCAGCTTTTGGGCGGCACTCGGTTTCCGGCCCCCACGACGTTGGGCCGATCTTCGGTCTGCGCAGCACGGGCACACGCGACGCGGCCAGCTTGGGCGAGAGTTTGGTACACATGTGTGGCCACACGTCTTTCTTGTGTTTGGCCCTTCTATGGCCAGCCAGGCACGTTGGGCTTCGCCAGTATATGCAGCGCGCGGCTTCAGCTAAGAATCCAGCCATGCGAGTTTCGAGGTTCCTGGTATCGTTGCCCCCGTCCCCAGGCTTACCATCCGGCCAGCCCTCTGGGTGTTTGCTTTCTAGCTGATGTTCCGCCGTTGCCTCGCTGCTGGTAGTCCCAGCGGTGCGCGCCAGCGCCTGTCGCTCTCACCTTACTTTTCCACTTATCCGACATGCCTGCAGACGCCATCCTGTCAGCCAGCCGTGCGGGAGATGCTTGTGGCTACTCCGGGTCGCACGCGCTCGAGCGGCAGGTTTCCCACCAGAGATCGGGTCTAACGTGATTCGAACCAGACATCCATTCCCCTTGATGGTCCCAGGGGGTGTGGTCATGAGGTGCCCTGACCTCGGGGGGGACCAGGGGTAATCCTGGCCCGAGGCGCCTCCAGCGTTTCGCTCAATTCCTAACCCCTTTTGGTTCTCGGAGCCTCGTGCGGGTGCTCTGGAGGCCGTGGGCCCCCTTTGTGAAAAGCTGGGGTCACCTTGTGCCAAGGACTGCGTCTGGCAGCGCCCGATAACCACTCCGACCATTCCACTCTGTTTGAATTGTGTGCACTGCCGTTCTTTTATTGCAACCCACCTAGTCGTTGGTCCTGTCAAGTAAAAAAAGAGCACCCAGAAGCCAGATCCTCGCCCTGCTCGTTCCCTTCCCCCCCACGAGCCGCAGAACGGCTTCACAGCATGAGATGTCTGAGGCTTGTTTCATTGAGGATGCTGTGCTGCTATGCGTATTCATTGAACACCATGGCACATGTCGCAGCGCCTCCACTCTGAAGCCTTGCATTGCCAGGGGCGTCTTGCTCCTACCACGTGCAGTTGCGTACATTGTCGAGTCTCGTATCGCAATACACCATGCGCGCTTGCCTACCCAAGATGTGTGCCACCTTGGACCTCATTTTATTTCACATCTCACGCCAACTGGGATAGGCAGTGGGACGAGTGAGGGGATTGGGATTCTAACGGTAAGCAGGTGGAGGAGGAGGAGGAGGAGGAGGAGGATGAAGGCCCCACGGGCATTATTGCCGATGCCCATTTGTGCGTGTGCGTGGCGCAGCCACACTTGGAGAATGACGATGGGGAGGCGAGGACGAGGAGAATGATGCGAAAGAGCACGAGAAGAAGAAATGAAACAGGGCGAGGAGACAGATCAGGAAGAGGAGGAGCAGACGAAAGGGGAAGGAGGATGAGACCAGAAGGGAATTTGGTGGCGGCGGATGTGCGATGGAGCGGACAGGACTGGGATGACGACGAGGATCAGCAGGAATGGGACATGGATGGCGAGGATGACCATGGTGATGGCTTTGATGATGGTGATGATGAGGACGGGAAGGGAGGATGGGGACGAGGAGAAGAGAAGAGAGGATAGGAGAGGAGAGGCGAGGAGGATTTGTATGTCAGGATGAGGAGGGGGGAGGAGGAGGGAGGAGGAGGGGAGGAGGGGGGAGGGGACGAGGAGGAGTAGGACAAATAGGAGGATCAGAGGGATGAGGAGGGCGAGCGAAGAGGACGAGGAGGGAGGAGGGAGAAGGGGGAGGTGATGAATGAGGATATCCAGCCTCAGGGTGCATTCCGGCAGCTCCGCCTCGTCGGAGGCGTTCTGGAGGGTACCCGGATCGTCCCGGTGAACGGCCGCGGGAGAGCCGAGTTATGACCTTACAGGGGTCATCGACGTTCGAGACTTGGGTAGGTACGGTCGGAAACGTTTGCTGTGCGTGTCGCGCCACTATTCCTAACTTTCCACACTTCGACGCGGTTAACCACGTCCTGATTCCCAAGGCGCGAACGGTCCGAGCCTTCCCCAGCTTCCCGCCCTGCGGAGCCGAGCAACACGAGATCCGTTGCGGTGCACGACACGCTAAGGAACAGTTCCCGACCGTATATTGCCTGTGTGCGGCGGCCCATCCTGGGCGACGCGCGCCTTCAGAAATTCCCCGATCAGTGCTTGCACTGAAGGGGTCCTAGCGGATCTTGAAGGATCTGCTGGCGAAAGTCGACGGCCGATTTCGGTGGGCGGCCGGGTTCCCGGATTCTTGGTTCCCGGGTTCCCGGTTGCTGGTTCTGGGCCGATTTCTGTGGGCGGCGGGTTCCCAGGTTTCTGGGTTCCTGGGTTCCTGGTCGATCTGATCGATCGGTCTCACCATTGATCTCATTACCCACCTTGTCTATCGATCTCACGATCGATCTCACTATGGGACTCACAATCGATCTCACTATGGATCGCACGAGCGATCTCACAATATATCTCACTATCGATCTCACTGAACCGACTTCACGACTGCTCTCGCAAGCGACTTTACTATCGTCCTCACTATGGACCACATTATCGATCTCACTACTGATCTCAGAACGGGTCTCACGGTCCAGATCATTGATCTTTGATCCATCCACTGATTGGGTTTTTTCTTTGGTATAATCTTAGACTACATTCCTGGCGGCGGGCTCGTTCTGGCCATGCCTCCCGTGCGGCGACGCACGACAAAAGATGCCCATGATGTGTGCTATATGTTCGGTTCGGACGTGCGCCTCCATCGGGGGGGGCGCATAGTAGTGGCATGTTCTGCTGCGTCCCATTTCCCCTGAACCACCCCTAGGGGAGCCACCTCAATTCGATGTCGTAGATTTGGGTTCTGAGCATTTCGAGGATTTTGACCTCGATTCGAATCGAGTAGATCCGATTTGGATGGTTTCGATTTCGGTCTGGTTCGACTCTGCATGCCAGCCTCGATGTGTATTTTTTCGTGTACGGTTCGGCTCTGACCTGCGAGCGTCGATATCGATGCCTTCTGGTCTGCTTTTCGATTTTTCTGGTGAGCCGATACGACAGGGATTGTTGCTGTATCCTCTGGCGCGTAACGGTCGCAAGGGGAGGCGGCGACACCACCACCGCCCGGGGGGCCACCTCCAGCGAGGGGGCCCACGATGCCTCCCCGAGCCGAGCTGGAGATAGGGGGCCCTTCTTGCGCCTCGCGCTGGTGGTGGTGGTGGTGGTGATGCCGCCTCTCCCTGCTCCTGCTCCGCTCCTGTCTGGCGTTCTTCACGGCAGCGCGACGAGAACGATTGGTGCTGTCAGCAGGGCGAGCCCTGCGCTGGCGTCCCTTCCTGCGTTGCGCACCGGTGTTCTAGGGACGCCTTCCCCCCTCGCGCAAGGAGGGGGGGCGGAGGGGGAGCATCAGAAGAGCTGAGGGGAGGGAGGCCTTCGAGGAAGCGCAGGGAGGGGGGGAGGATTGCTCATTTTTCCTCGCGGCTCTCGTGTGCTTCGAGAGACTCCACATAGTCTCCCAGGAGGGCGCCCAGACGGTCGAAGAAGCCCTAAGACAGCCTAAGACAGCCTCGTGTGTTCGGAGCGTCGGAATGTCCCCAGCCACACACCCAGTCCAGTGGGAGCTGGGCCCCGGGCCGGCAGCCCGGGGGGGGGGGGGGGGGCGAGCCCCCAGCCCCGAGCCGGAGGGGGGGCGAGAGAGAGAGAGAGAGAGAGAGAGAGAGCGGGGGAGAGGGCACCACTTCGGACAGAGTCAACGCCCGGGCCCCTGAGCCCTGAGCCGCACATGCTCGGCGGACCCGCCTCACAAAGCGGGAAGCCAGCTTCGGAAGAGGTGAAAGAGCCTCAGGGCAAGGAGAGCGGGTCCCTTTTCGGACAGGGTCAACGTCCAGGCCCCTGATCAGGCGATCAAAACATTCACGCGGATTAGCAACGGGTGTCGTTTCCATGGGAACTCGCAGATTTCAGACGCCGAGAGAGGCGGCACGGGCCGCATTTTGGGGAGGTCGCCTCCCCCGATCCATGGATTTGGCGACCGCGCGCCAAATCAATGGATCAATAGTCCATGTTTGCGCGCCCCCGACCTGAGCCCTTAGCCGCACGTGTTCAGCGGACCCGCCTCACAAAGCGGGAAGCCGTCTGCGGAAGAGGTGAAGGAGCCTCAGGGCAAGGAGAGTTGGTCCCCTGGACAAGCCAGGGGCCCTCACGCGACGAAGCATGCCTCAGGCCATGTAGCAGGTCCCGATCTGCCCGAGCGCATGCCTGGGGAGAAGGCGAGAGGCGGAGGACGAGGAAGAAGAACGACAGGGTCAGATGGCATAACATGCGAGGCACAGGGGGCCCATGGCGCCCCCTGCAGGAGCGCGCAGGCAGTCGCTTCGCGCGTCGCGGCCTGGGCCGGGGAGTCGCGGAGATATCCGCGCGGCGCATTTCGCCGGGCGCGATGGGCGAAGGTAGGTGTCTGAGCTGGTCTAGCAGAATGAAGAGGAAGCGGGAGGAGGGGAGGAGTGAGCCTGCGCGGTCCAGCTCTCATCGCCTGCGCGGACAATCACTTTCCCATCACCCTTCCCTTGCTCCAGGCATCCCTGCACACCCTTGCTCCCCCCGCTCTCTTCCTTTGCCGCCCTCCCAGGATGGGGGAGAGGATCATCGAGGATCGAGATGATCGAGGATCGAGAATCGAGGATCGAGGATCGAGGATGAGTGAGAGGGGGGGGATGGGGGATCGAGGACGGAAGATCGACGACGAGGCTTGGGCCAGGGTTCTCGGAAGGGATTGCGGGCGTTCTCGTCGATTCTTGGAGGCTGCCTCGCCTCGGGGTGCTTCTCAGCAGGCTGCACACAAGGCGCGGACACAGGGTTTTCGGAAGGGCCTTCTCAGCTCTTGGTAGCTCTCTCGCCTCCTTGATGGGCCTGTTTTCCGAGGCAGGAAGAAGGTGGAGGACGAGGAGGAGTAGGAGGAGGAGGAGGAGGAGGAGGAGGAGGAGGAGGAGAAGGACCCCCCCCTCCAACTTATGGTGGTGGTGGTGGTGGAAAACAGGCCCATCGCCTCCTGGTACTTCCCAGCAGCTGCGCACGAGGCGCAGACTGGGGGTTTTCGGATGGTCACTCAGGCGTTCTCGTCGGCTCTTGGAGGTTCGGTCGCCGCGGGGTGCTTCCCAGCAGCTGCGCACGAGGCCTGGACCGAGGGTCTTCGGATGGTCGTTCGGGCGTTCTCGCCGGCTCTCGGAAGCTTTCTCGCCTCGGGATGCGTTCCAGCAGCTGCGCCGGAGGCTCGGAACGAGGGTTGCGGCAAGTGAGGGGTTTCGGGCGTTCTCGCCGGTTCTGGGAGGTTTTTTCGCCGCGGGGTGCTTTCCAGCAGCTGCGCACGAGGCCTGGACCGAGAGTTTTCGGAAGGGCGTTGGGGCGTTCTCGTCGGCTCTTGGAGGCTTTCTCAAGCGGGGTGCTTTCCTGCAGCTGCGCACGAGGCGCGGACCGAGGGTTTTCGGAAGGGCGTTCGGGCGTTCTCGTGGGTTCTTGGAGGCTGTCTCGCCTCCCGGTGCTTTCCAGCAGGCGCGCCTCGCGGAGGGCGTTGCGCGGGGGGCCTGGGTCTGCCCGCCGGGGGCCCTCTCGCGGAGGGCAACGGAATCGAGGGAAGGTGTCCGCCGAGTTTTCGGCCTCTGCGGGGCCGCTGCTTGGCCCTGGGGTCGTCAATACACGGCTCTGGCTTGGAGGCCAACCCCGGGGAGCAGGTCCAGATCTCCAGGGTCCCACGCTGCGGCACAAGTCACGGCGTCGGAGTTCTGGGCTGTCCGAGCAAAGGCCTCCGGGTCGGTGTACGTCGATGGTTACAGGCTGGCCGACTGACTCGTGCGCCAGCCTGTCGACGAGGGCACAGGCGGGCTCGAGAGATACAGTAGAGGCCCATGCCAAGAAACACCCTGCTCGCCTCCAGGTTCCGAAGGTTTTACTGTTGAAAGCGTGACGTTCCCACACCGAAAATCAATGAACGTGCTGGGGTCTCAGGGCTGGGTTTCATGTGGAAAGTTTCTTGTGGTCGGGCCCCATGAATGCTGTACGCAAGCGGGTGGATGGCGTTGAAGGGAGAGGCACCTTGCCCGACGGGAGCGCAACGACATCGCGAGGAGGATGGGGGCATAGGGAGCGGGGGCCAGGTTGAACCTCGACTTGAACACTTGCCGCGGCCTCGGTCTCTTCTCTCTCGCTCGTGCCCAGGATTCGTTGGCCCTGAGGACCGTGCACCCCGCGAGGGGGCCAGGTCTGTTTCGGGCGGCCGAGCGTCGGCACGTGAGTGTAACAATCCCGTTAGCTGAAGCCCACCCAGGTGAATGCGCCCTCCCTCCAATCCACTCACTTGGAGCGTTCCAAAAAAGGGCTCTCCTTCGATGGTTGAAAAATATGCCATCTCTTCCGAGGCGAAAGGACGCAGAAGGTCGGCGGAAGGCGGCGGAAGTACGGCGGCGGCGGCGCCGCCAGCGGAAGGCAGCGGAAGGCCAGCGGATGGAAACGTCGACCTCCCAAGAGATGACAACATTTGTGGGTTCAGGGCTTCCGAAGCCGTCCACTTGGACTTCGCGCTCGACTGCTTTGTCGCCTACCCTGGTTCCTGGCATGGGCACTTTGCCGAGCGCGTCTCAAAATAAAGCCCCAGCAGCTCTCGAACATGGCGACAGTTTCGCTGGTCGCAGCCCCACGGGTATGGCGACGTCTAGTCTGAATCCAGGTGTGACGTCACTCCGCTGGAGCCCCCAGCAGCTGTCCAAAGTGGCGACAGTTTCGCTGATCGCAGCCCTACAGGGATGGCGAGGTCTAGTCCATATCTGCGTAGCACGTCACTCCGCTGGACTCCCCAGCAGCCCTCGAAAGTGGCGACAGTTTTGCAGATCGCAGCCCCACAGGGATGGCAAGGTCTAATCTGAATCTGCGTAGCACGTCGCTTCACTGGAGCCCCCAGAGGCCCTCGAAAGTGGCGACATTTTCGCAGATCGCAGCCCCACAGGGATGACGAGGTCTAGTCTACATCTGCGTAGCACGTCACTCCGCTGGAACTCCAGCAGCCCCCCAAAGTGGCGACAGTTTCGCAGATCGCAGCCCCACGGGGATGACGAGGTCTAATCTGAATCTGCGCAGCACGTCACTCCGCTGGACTCCCCCGCAGCTGTCCAAAGTGGCGACGACAGTTTCGCAGATCGCAGCCCCACAGGGATGACGAGGTCTACTCTGAATCTGCGCAGCACGTCGCTCCGCTGGACCCCCCCCAGCAGCCCTCGAATGTGGCAACAGCTTCGCTCATCGCGGCCCACCACCGTGCATCCAGGCAGGACGACGAGATAGGAGGCGGGGCAGCATGTAGGAGTCGTAAGAGGCAAAAGGGAGAAGACGAGGGCAGGAGGGAGGCGGAAGACAAGAGAAGCTGGAGGCCACAGTGCTCTTCTCAAAGCGAGTGCCCGACGCAGGAAGGCCGGGAAACAAGAGCGGGCTGGTGTGGGCTGCCGAGGCCGCATGATGCCGGCCGAGGCGGTGGAGGAGGTGCTCGTGGCGGCAGGCCCCCCCCCCGCCCGCCCAGGAGGCCGTCGCCGCCGCCGCCGCCCTCAGCGTGCTCTCTGCGGGTCTCTGAGGGCGCATCCCTAAGATTGTCATCACCTTGGGCTTGTCGATCCCAGGGGCAGGAATACGTTCGAGGCTCGCTAATGCGGCGGCGAGCCTGGGGGGAAGACACAAGGGGCGGGCATTCTCGGAAGGCTGGGAAGTCCCCTTGCCTCCTTAGTAATTTTCCGAGCCTTCCCCGAAGACGCAGAAAACCTTTCAGAAGGGCGGAGGTTTTCTGAGAAGCCCAACCGCCTTCTGACAAGGTCTTCTCCTTCTCACATCCTGCCCTGGCACGTCGCTGATTACGGTCAGACCGAGGTGGAAGATCGAGGTCGGTTCTTGGAGGGTACCCTGATGTTCTTCGTCTATGTGGCATTTAATTGTGCATCCTGGGGAGAGGGCACCCTCGAGTGCTCCTCCGTGTGTACCTTCGCAGGGTCTCATGCTCTTTCAGCATGTACTTCTGTCCTCGGTCCGGCTGTAACATCATCGGAGAGCTGGGCATCTCGGGACCTCCCCTTCGTCGGGGCCGGCTCCTTCTGGCGGGGACCTTGCGCGCAGGCGCGGCCGCCGGCGCTTCGCCCTGCGGGGCGGCCGCGGCTGCCCCCGCCGGCGGCGCCGCCTTCAGACGATAGCGACGACGACGACGGCGGCGGCGACAACGACGACGACGACGACGCACGACGGCGACGACGACGACAACGACAGCGGCGACGACGATGACGGCGGCGGCGATGACGACGACGACGGCGGCGGCGATGACGACGACGACGGCGGCGACGACGGTTGCGACGACGACAGCGACGCTGACGCACGACGACGACCACTACGACGACGACGATGACGACGCACGACGCCCGACGGCGGCGCCGGCGGCGACGACGACGACGACGACGACGGGGACCGCCACCACGGCGGAGGCGCACGACGACGACGCACGACGGCGACGTGCGACGACGACGACGATGCTGCTTCATGACGACGACGGCGACGACGACGACGGCGGCGGCGGCGATTACGATGACGGCGGCGGCGACGGCGGCGGCGGTGACGACGGCGACCCAACTGCGACGACGACGATGACGACGACGATGACGACGGGGACCGCCACCAAGGCGGAGACGCACGACGACGACGACAACGACGCACTACGCACGATGGCGACGACGACGACGACTCTGCACGACGGCGACCACGACGACGACGACGGCGGCCACGACGACAGCTTCGACGACGACGACGACGGCGGCGGCGATGAGGATGGAGGCGGCGGCGACAACGGCGGTGGTGATCTCGGCGACGCACGACGACGACGACGACGACGACCACGCACGACGCACGACGGCGACGACGGTGACGGCGACGACGACGACGACGACGACGGGGACCGCCACCACGGTGGAGTCGCACGACGACGACGACGACGCACGACGCACGATGGCGATAACGCACGACGATGACGACGACATGACAACGGGGACCGCCACCACCGCGGAGACGCACGACGACGACGAGGACGACGCACGGCGAACGATGGCGACGACGACGACGACGACGGCGACGGGGACCGCCACCACGTCCGAAACGCATGATGACGACGATGAGGATGACGACGACGCACGACGCACGGCGGCGACGACGTCGACGACGACGACGTGGATTGCCACCACGGCGGAGACCCACGACGAGGACGCACCACGCACGATGGCGATGACGACGACGACCACGCACGACGACGGGGACCACCACCACGGCGGAGACGCATGACGACGACGACGACCGCGACGCACGTCGCTCGACGGCGACGACGACGTCGACGACGACGGGGACTGCCACCACGGCGGAGACGACGCACGACGTGGTCACGCACGACGACGACGCCTGACGCACGACGGCGACGGCGACGCTGACGCCGACGTGCTTCGCCACCACGGCGGAGACGCACGACGACGACGCATGACGCACGACGGCGGCGACGACGGGGACGACGCATGACGCACAACGCATGACGCACGACGACGATGACTACGACGAATACGACAGGACCCGTTCCCACGGCTAAGACGCACGACGACGACGACGACGGGGACGACGACGCACGACGACGACGACGACGCACGACGACGACGACGACGCACGACGCACGACGGCGACGACGACGACGACCACGATGACGACGGCGACGACGACGCACGACGCTGACGTGGATCGCCACCACGGTGGAGACACGACGACGACGCACGACGGCGACTACGACGACGACGACGACGGCGACCGCCACCACGGCGGAGACGCACGACGACGGAAACGACGACGACGTCGCACGACGCACGATCTCGACGACAACGACGACGGCGATTGGGGCGGGCTCACCACGGCGGAGACGCATGACGACGACGCACGACGACGAAAACGACGACGCACGACGTCACACGACGACGACACACGACGCACGACAGCGACGACGACGACGGGGACCGCCACCACGGCGGAGACGCACGACGCACGACGGCGACGACGATGACGACGCACGACGCACGACGACTTCGACGATGACGACACATGGGCACGCCACCACGACGGAGACGCACGACGACGACGAGGACGACGACGACGACGACGACGACGACGACGACGACTACGCACGATACACGACGGCGACGACGTCGACTACGACGACGACGACGACGACGACGGCGACCGCCACCACGGCGGAGACGCACGCCGACGAAAACGACGACGACGACGCACGACGCACGACGGCAACGACCACGTCGACGACGACGACAACGGGGACCGCCACCATGGTGGATTCGTGCGACTCACGGCGGCGACGACGACGACACACGACGCACGACGACGAGGACGACGAGGGGGGCCGCCACCACGGCGCAGTCGCACGACGACGAGGACGACGACGCACGACGACGATGATGACGACGACGATGACGATGACGACGACGCTCGACGCACGACGGCGGCGACAGCGACATGACGACGACGACGACGACAAGGACCGCCACCACGGCGGAGACGCACGACGGCGACGACGACGACGACGCACGACGCATGACGCACGACGGCGACGACGACGACGGGGACCGCCACCATTGTGGAGACGCGCGAACAAGGCGACGACGACGACGACGCACGACGCACGACCGCGTCAACGACGTCGACGACGACGATGTCGACGATGACGACGACGCGGCCACCACGGCGGAGACGCACGAGGACGACGACGACGACGACGTTTACTACGCACGACGCACGGCCGCGACGACGACGTCGACGACGACAACGGTGACGACGACGACGGGCCCACCACCGCGGAGTGCACGACGGCGATGCGCGACGCACGACCGCGACAAAAACGTCGTCGACAACGATGACGACGACGACGACGACGACGACGACGACGACGACGACGACGACGACGACGACGACGACGGGACCACCATGACGGAGACGCACCACGACGACCACGCCGACGACGCACGACGGCGACGACGACGTCGCCGACGGCGACGACGACGGGGACCGCCACCATGATGGAGACGTACGACGCACGACGGCGACGACGACGACGCACGACGCACGACGCACGACGACGACGAGGGGGACCGTCACGACCACGAGGCGAGGCCGCCGCGGCACCTGCTCGAAGGAGCCGCCCAGGGCCGGCGCGCTCTCTTCCAGGAGCGACTCATGGCCAGGCTTCGGCTTCGTCGACGGCCAGTTCTGCAAAATTCTTGGGGAACACACAAACACCGACACAAGAAAAACTCGGAGGTCCGCGCAGATTCCGAGTTTGTATGTTTCCTATCGCTGTTTGTTCCTGGTAATTTCCGCCAGGCTACGTCAGGTTCGCGCCGCGTCAACTGGCGGCGAGCCCGCCGCCGGCGTTCAACGTTGAACGCCGTCGGCGGCCCAGGACCGGTCGATGTTGAACGATCTGACGTTTCGGAAACGACCGAGCGTTCAAGATTGAACGATCCCTGCGGTGTCAGGAGGTCGGCACGACACGAACTTGCCGCACGCGTAAGAGTGACACCTGCGCAGGAGTGACCTCTTGGTGCAGGCCCAGCTGGGATTCTCTCAGCTTTGGCTGGCGCGCTTGGATTTGGCCTCCACGCGGCCCCCGCAAGCCGCGCACTGGAGATCACTGCTGCCTGGGATCACTCCTGCGTGTAGCCGACCTGCTCGAAGCAGCCGCCCAGGGCGGGTGCACTCCCTCCCAGGAGCGGCCAGCGGCCAGGCCGCAGGCCGCGTGCGCCGCCAGTGGGGAAGAGGCTTTCTTGATGGTTCGATCCCCCCCAGTTTGTTCGATCTCCCTTACGACGACGACGATGCAAAGGGCGCTGGCGCACTTCAGTTTGGGTTGGGCTGGCCTCGCGTCGAAGGGCCTCTCTCACACGCCTACTGCGTCGGCGGATGTTTCACGATGTTGCATGTTGCATTTTCTGTCGCGACGTAGGATCTCAGGGCCAGCCGTGTGCGCCGCCAGCCCAGCCATCCAACGTCACGAAACAGCCAAGGCGCAGGATTTTTTCCGCCTTCGGCCTCCGCGGGCCCTCGCTGGGCGCCGGGGCCGCCAGACAACGACTCGCGATGAAACGCTGCCCCTGGGGAAGGGATCGGGACTTCTGGGGAGTCCGTAAAGTCGGGGTGTTGGTTCAGGACTATGCCTAGGAGGTCTCAGACCTTGTGGATCCTGTTGCCTGATGAGGGCGGCAGCGATAGCCATGGCCGATCTACGACCGGAGTTCCACCGGCTCCCGCCTGGCGCACCTGCGCCTCCCACGAGGGCCGCGCGCTGCGGGGCAGCGGCGGCGCCACGGCAAACGCCGGTGGTGGGCCGCGCGGCGGAGCAGTCGGCTCGCGTAGCCTGGAGCGGGCGGCTGGCGAAGTCGAGCGAAGACGAGGGGAGCGAATCAGGACGGCCTTTTTCGGAGGGCTCCCACTGGATTCCCTATCAGTGGCTCCTTACTCAAAGACAATGCCCTCACAGAACTCAGCAAAGCACGGCATCGGCGCGCGTTGGCAGTTGGCAAACAGTGGCGACAGCACCGGCAGTCATTTGTTGCATGGGCTGCTCTGGCCAAGTTCGACTACTGAACGCCGTCCCGGGTCCTGTCGGACGGGGCGAGGACGAGGACAAATCCGTTCCAGAGCGTTCCAGAACGCTCTCAGAGCGTTCCAGAACGCTCTGAGAAGGCCGCCGGATCGCAGAGAATCTCAGTTTAGCCTCCCCGGCTCTTATCTTCGTCCTGGCGGGCCACTCTGCTGGCAGGGCCTGCTCTTAGGTCTGGCATGTCCCCCTACAGGGGGACTTTGGACGAAAAAATTGAAATTCTCAAAACAGAATCAACCATGGCAAAACAATATTCAAGCACCTACTCAAATAACATTCCCCCTGTAGAGGGACGTGCCCGACGTAAGCCTGCTCCCCGCGGGCAGCGCCCCGCGCGCGCCGCTGCCGCGGTAGCCTAGGGGGCTGCCCAGAGGGGGCGAGCCGCCGCGCCTCCGGCGGCTGCCAGGGGCCGCGGAGTCGGACAGGCCGACGTTCCCGACGCGCCCGACGCTCCGTTCTCCTCCTCCTCCTCCTCCTCCTCCGTTCTCCTCCTCCTCCTCCTCCTCCTTCTCCTCCTTTCTCCTCCTCCTTTCTCCTCCTCCTCCTCCTCCTCCTCCTCCTCCTCCTCTTCCTCCTCCCCCTCCTCCATCCCCCTCCTCATCCTCCTCCTCCTCCTCCTCCTCCTCCTCCTCCTCCTCCGCCTCCTCCTCCTCCTCCTCCTCCTCCTCCTCCTCCTCCTCCTCTTTCTCCTCCTCCTCCTCCTCCCCTCCATCCCCCTCCTCCCTCTCCTACCCCTCCTCCTTGCCCCCTTCCATGGCCCCCCCCTCCCCCTTCACCCCCCTAGGCGCGCCGCGCGCGGTCGCGCCAGGCGCGGGGGCGCGCTGCGCGGTCTGTGTCCAAACCTCAAGCAAGGCGGTACGATGGGAATTGGCACAGAAAGGATGGGTGCGAAAACCAACAGCAGTTCCTGCTAATTCCCAACCATCCTGAGGTGTTGGGTCCTCGTTTTGAAGAGACTGTCCCCGCTTTCACTCCTCCTCCCGCTGCCCCCTCCCTCCTCCTCTCACCCCCCCCCTTCACTTTGGCACACCCGTCACACGCTTCATGGCCCCATGGGGAGCCCCACCGAAGGCCCAAATGCCAGCGTTCGCATGCGGCCACCGTATTTCCCAACCATCCTGTGGTGTTGGGTCCTCGTTTTGAAGAGACGTCGCCCCGCGTTCCTTCCTCCTCCTTCCTCCTCCTCCCCTTCAGCCCCCCTCCCATCATCATCATCATCATCATCATCATCATCATCATCATCATCATCATCATCATCATCATCATCATCATCATCATCATAATCATAATCATCATCATCATCATCATCATCATCATCATCATCATCATCATCATCATCATCATCATCATCATCATCATTATCATCGTCATCGTCATCACCATGATCATCATCGACATCATCGACGTCATTATCACCACCATCATCATCATCGTCATCGTCATCACCCAATTCGGCACACCCCTCACACGTTTCGTGGCCCCATAGGGATCTCCACCGAAGGCCCCTGTGGCTGCGTTCGCATGCGCCCACCGCGCCCATTTCGGCGCACCCCTCACACGTTTCGTGGCCCCACAGGGAGTTCCACCGAAGGCCCCAGTGGCTGCGTTCACATGCGCCCACCGCACCGATTTCGGTACACGCCTCACACGTTTCGTGGCCCCACAGGGAGCCTCACCCAAGGCCCCCGTGGCTGCGTTCGCATGCGCCCACCGCACCCAGTTCGGCACACCCCTCACACGCTTCGTGGCCCCACAGGGAGCTCCACCGAAGGACCCAGTGGCTGCGTTCGCATGCGCCCACCGCGCCCATGTCGGCACACCCTTCACACGTTTCGTGGCCCCATAGGGAGCCTCACCCAAGGCCCCCGTGGCTGCGTTCGCATGCGCCCACCGCACCCAGTTCGGCACACCCCTCACACGTTTGTTGGCCCCATAGGGAACTCCACCGAAGGCCCCAGTGGCTGCGTTCGCATGCGCCCACCGCACCCATTTCGGCACACACACGTTTCGTGGCCCCGGAGCTCCACCGAACTGCGTTCGCATGCGCCCACCGCACCCATTTCGGCACACCCGTTTCGTGGCCCCACAGGGAGCTCCACCGAAGGCCCCAGTGGCTGCGTTCGCATGCGCCCACAGCACCCACTTCGGCACACCCCTTACACGTTTCGTGCCCCCACAGGGAGCTCCACCGAAGGCCCCTGTGGCTGCGTTCGCATGCGCCCACCGCACAGATTTCGGCACACCTCTCACACGTTTCGTGGCCCCGCAGGGAGCCCCAACGAAACCAATAGTGGCTGCGTTCGCATGCGCCCACCGCACCCATTTCGGCACACCCCTCGCACGCTTCGTGGCCCCATAGGGAGCTCAACCGAAGGCCCCTGTGGCTGCGCTCACATGCGCCCACCGCGCCCATGTCGGCACACCCTTCACACGCTTCGTGGCCCCACAGGGAGCTCAACCGAAGGCCCCAGTGGCTGCGTTCGCATGCGCCCACCGCACCCATGTCGGCACACCCCTTGCACGTTTCGTGGTCCCACAGGGAGCCCCACCGAAGGCCCCAGTGGCTGCGTTCGCATGCGCCCACCGCACCCAGTTCGGCGCTCACCTCGCACGTTTCGTGGCCCCATAGGGAGCTCCACCGAAGGCCCCTGTGGCTGCGTTCGCACGCGCCCACCGCACCCATTTCGGCACACCCCTCACACGTTGCGTGGCCCCACAGGGAGCTCCGCCGAAGGCCCCACTGGCTGCGTTCGCATGCGCCCACCGCACCCATGTCGGCACAGCCCTCACACGTTCCATGGCCCCACGGGAAGCTCAACCGAAGGCTTCGGTGGCTGCGTTCACATGCGCCCACCGCGCCCATGTCGGCACACCCTTCACACGTTTCGTGGCCCCACAGGGAGCCCCACCGAAGGCCCCTGTGGCTGCTTTCGCTTGCGCCCACCGCACCCATTTCGGCACACCTCTCACACGTTTCGTGGCCCCACAGGGAGCTCCACCGAAGGCCCCAGTGGCTGCGTTCGCATGCGCCCACTGCACCCAGTTCGGCACACCCCTCACGCTTCGTGGCCCCACAGGGAGCTTAACCGAAGGCCCCAGTGGCTGCGTTCGCATGCGCCCACCGCACCCATTTCGGCACACCCCTTGCACGTTTCGTGGCCCCACAGGGAGCTCCACCGAAGGCCCCGGCACAGCCTCACACGTTTCGTGGCCCCTTAGGGATCGCTGCCGAAGAAGATACTCGCACTTGCGGTACGCACAGCTGCATATGGTTGGGTCCTTCGCCAGGATAGTTATTTTGGCACACCTTTCACACGTTTCGTGGCCCCACAGGGAGCCCCATCGAGGGCCCAAATGCCAGCGTTCGCATGCAGCCACCGCAACCATTCTGCCCCACCGAAGGCCGAAATGCCAGCGTTCGCGTGCGCCCACCGCGCCCATTTTGGCACACCCCTCACACGTTTCGTGGCCCCATAGGGAGCCCCACCGAAGGCCCAAATGCCAGTGTTCGCATGCGGCCACCGCCACCCATTTTGGCACACCCTTCACACGGCTCCTGGCCCCACAGGGAGCCCCACCGAGGGCCAAAATGCCAGCGTTCGCATGCGCCCACCGCGCCCATTTTGGCACGCCCCTCACACGCTTCGTGGCCCCACAGGGAGCTCTACTGAACGCCCAAATGCCAGCGTTCGCATGCGCCCACCGCGCCCATCTTGGCACACCCTTCACACGTTTCGGGGCCCCATAAAGCAGGGGTGGTGCAGTCGGGTCGGGGCTACCGGAGCGGTCGGGGTGTCTCTTAGAAGACTGCCAGGCAGCCCTTGGTATTCTTCTTCCACGCCTCAACGTGCCGCAGGCACGGTGGCAGATATACAATGTGTTTGGGCCGCAATTTGCCATCAAATGGTTGACCACAGTAGCAAAGTATAATGCACAAATCGCAAGTCCCCGGCCCCCGGGGAGAGGGCGGATGTGGGGCGCCCCCCCCCCCCCGCAGGCGCTCCTGGCGGCGGCGCCGCGGATGCGCTGCTGGAGGCCTTCAGTTTGCGGGTGTCGTTTTGCCAGGCCGCACCGCCGCCCCGCGATGCCCGCCGTAGCGCGGGGAGCGACGAGCCCAGATCTCGGGCGGGTTCGAATGGGGGGTAACCAAAGGGGTGGTGAAGACACGGCGCGTAGGGGTGGAAACATCGAGCCCCAATCGCCGATAGGGGCCCGATGGCCCCACCCTGCCGAGGAACGTGCAAATTCGCCATCGGAGACATATCGGCGATGTGTCGCCGATTCCAGGTCGTTGTTTCCCTCCTCTGCAAGTCCCCCCATCTCGTTGCCCCTGGGCGGGGGGAGCGACGAGCCCAGATCTCCGAGGAAACATGTTCTGTTGGCCCGGCGTTTTTTGTGTTTCTGCCACTGCGGTACGTTATCAGGCCCCGGAGACATCAAAGCATATGCAGGACGAGCATGGTTGACGCTTCGCGTATCCCCATGATAGGGGGCAGCCGTCATCCGTCATCCGTCACCCGTCATCCGTAGGAGCAAGATAGGGGGCAGCCGTCATCCGTCGAATGAGGAGGAGGATGGAGGAGTAATTGAAGAGGAGACAGAAGGAGAAGGAATAGGCAGATGAGAAGCAGGAGGATGGGAGAGGGCGCGCAGAAGGCCAGAGGCTTCTTGGATGCCCGGGGACTGTCCTGGAGACCTCTTCGGCCGTCTTGGATGCCTCTGGGCGGTCTCGGGGGCCCCTTGAGGCGTCTTGCGTGCCGTTGAGGGTTGCCTCTTGAGGCCGCTTGGGGCCATTTAGGCACCTCTTGGGGGCCTTCTGGGGGCCTCTTGCGGCTTTCTTGGGAGCCCTGGAGGTCTTCTTGAGGCCTTCTTGTAGGACATTAATCAAAGAAGGGGGGGCCTTAGTTAGCGTCCCCCCTCTCAAGCCTCTTGAATCGCCTCGTAGGGCCCTCTTGGAGCTCTCTTTGAACGCTCTTGAGTGCTCTGGGGGCCGTCTTGGGGCGGGCCTCTCTTGGTGCCCTCTTGGGCCATCTTGGAGCCATCTTGAGGCTCCGGATGGCCATCGGAAGCGAATACGCGCGAAAGCAAACCACATTGATGTTCCCTACGTTTGGGAAGGATTTGGGCATCTTGGAGACTCTCTTGGGGGTGCTGCGAGGCCACTTGGAGCCGCCTTGAGGCGATCTTGGGGCCGCTAGCAGCATCTTGGAAGCCATCTTGAGCAATCTTGAGCCATCCTGAGCCATCTTGGGGTCTCCGAGGCCTTCTTGGAATTATCATGGGCCATCTTGGACGCTCCAGTGTGTCGCGGGGCGTCACGTCCAAGTCCAGGGGGAAGGGAGTAGCGGGAGGTGTAAACCCCTCCCCGTCGGGAAAGAAGGGAAGATAGAAGGGAAGACGCTGTAAACCAATCACGTCCAGAGGTCTGGTGGGGTTCACCCCCTGAGAAGAGGTCCGTAGCTCTGGGGCCACATAAGCGGACGTCAGGGAACACATTCGTATCCATGCCCTCCCTCCAGAAGGGCACGTGGATTGGATGGTTAGTCGAGGTTTTCTAGACCTTGGACGGGCATCGTGGGCTTGTGTTCCGAGGTCGTGCTCATGGGGGGAAATCCCCTGTCTTGATTGCGAGGCGCGATCCCTCGGATACGCAATCGCATGGATACGTTCCGCGCGGGGAATCCGCGAAACGCTTCCCTGTATCCGTGGGGTCGCGGCTGAGTGACCTGGACCGCAAGGCCGTGGATACGGATATGTGTCCCGCCCACGGGGGACAGGGGATGGCGGGTAGGCCTAGAACCAACATGCATCGTTTCGCAGCGTTCCGAAAAACTCTCAGCGCGCTGGTGAGCGCTCTTGACCGGCCGCGACGGCAGGTATGTTATCCAGAGCCACTAGCTCTCAGGGATCCCCGATACACCTCGCTCTGATTTCATAGAAGTCTTGCTGTGGTCTCAGAGGGCCCGGTCTCCAACATCGTCTTGAGCAGTCGGGTTGAAAGGCATCTGCCTTCGGCCTCCGAGGTGCCGTTCTCGGGTCGTACACTAAGGCTTGTGCATCATTTGCAGATTCTCCTTTCAACACAATAGTGAATCGCGCACCCGCAGTCCAGAACAATTCGATCTTTTGATTTTCTGGGGAGCCCTACTCGAATTTAATGTGCGAGGACCTCACACCGACCACAACACAAACCTTAGGACTTATTGATCACATTGGCCGCCAATTGCTCTTGACATGACGTTGTCGATGCAGAACGGCGGAACTCAGAGGGCTATGGCTGTTTTGGAAACCAAGCCACAATATGTTTGGTTTGGAGGGGGAGAGAGGAGGATCGAGGAGGACGGGGGAGAGGAGGAAGGATGACGAGGAGGATTAGGGGGGTACTTTGGAGGGGCTCGGCGGAAGGAGGAGGGGGGTCCTAAACTTTTACTCCTGCTCACCTCGTCCTCGTTGCCCCTCCCCGTCGCCTCCACCACCCTCTCATCCCCCTGCACGCCCTCCACGGGCCACATTTCGGCCCAGACCTTCGTGTGGACAATCGACGCCCAGCCGGGCTTGGAGGCGATATCTCAGCGGCACCGCAGTGGGCGCTCACTGACGGGTACTTCGGAACCCAGCGGAGAAGTCGCCACTTTGGGCATTTCATTGGAATTGCAGCATTGCAGTCACGGGGCAGGGTTGGGATTCGCCGAGTCGCAGGCCAAAGTGCCTGTTGATGGAGTCCCCGTCAGGGCCGGCGCTGATTTTCTGTAGAGATTTTTGCCCAGGCTGGTCCTGTGCATGCCCAGGAGTACGTCAGCCAGACGCGGCATTTGCAGCGGCCCGTGTGCCGATCAGAGATGCGCGGGCTCTCGTGTCCCCAAAAGCCGAGGTGAAGTGAACAAAAAGGTCGGTTGTGAAGTAAAACTGTTCCTGCGAAGGTCTGGGAGACGGCGGGTGACCCCAATGCAGTTACGGGGCAACATATAGAAGGTCGCAATGTGGACTATTTTCAAAATTGAGGTCTCGCTTTAGCGCCGCGCGCATTCATCTTTAACGCATGCACTTATTACGAGGGATAGAGGACCTTTTCTTTTCAACATGGGACTCTTGCCCCAGCACGCGCCCAATCGTTTTCAAAGCTTGCAGAATTTACCAGTGGAGGACAGGCGTAGTAATTCTTACAGCTGCGCGGATGGAGGCGATTTCTTTTCGACATGAATTTTGGTTCGGGACTACCTCGAACTTCATGACCAGAAATATCACAGTTGACAAGTATTGCACAGCTGGGGGCTGGCCGTTTTTCAGAACAGGGATGTCGTTGGACACCTCACTGAACCGTGTGATCATACGTGTCTTGCACTCGTTATTACATGTTGGAAGGATACATTGTAGCTCCTGGTCGAAACAGAGCTCTCGCCTGAATGGCTGACCCATCGGTTTATTGGTTTTTCAACGGGTGCGTTGTTTGTTGTGAAGGGGGAGGCTTGCAGGGACTCATGGGGAGGGGGCTTTGGACGGGAGATGTAGTGCCGCAAAGTTGGGGCATCTTGGGATTATTCTGTTGTTTTGCTTTAGACAAATATAGCTGACGAGGTTTCCGCATTCATCTCTGGGACAAGAGTCAGAGAATGCACGTTGAAATAGGGCAAACAGTAAAGCCGCCCGAGTGCAGACTGCAGACTAAGCGGTGAAGGAGGTGCGAAGAGAAACGGGAAAGTGGAAAAGCCTGCGAGGGCATAGAGTATCAGATCTGTTGTTGTCGGCAAGGTAGTCCCCTGTCCCCCACATGCGGCCAACTCTTCTCCACTCCTCCTCCTCCTCCTCCTCCTCCTCCTCCTCCTCCTCCTCCTTAGGTCCTCCTCCTCCTCATCCTCCTCCTCCTTCGGTCCTCCTCCTCCTCCTCCTCCTCCTCCTCCTCCTCCTTAGGTCCTCCTCCTCCTCCTCCTCCACCTCCTGCTCCTCCTCCTCCTCCTCCTCCTCCTCCTCCTCCTCCTCCTCCCAGAGGCGACGGTAAGGGCGAACAGCCCAGGGGAGAGCCCTTTCGAAGCGAAAGGCCTGCCGTGGCCAGACAAGCTGCCAAGCGAAGGCCCCGTCGAAGCAGAAGGCCCGCCGCATTCAGCCATCCTGATGGCGGCAAGAGGGCCTCAGAGGCGACGAAAGGGGCGAATAGCCCAGGGGAGAGCAATACATGTATTCAGGCGCGCCGATGATCTATGTCTTCGAAGAGGCTCCTGGGCGAATGCGTACAATTTCCCGCCCCTGGGCGATTCGCCCCGGTCGTCGCCGCCGGACCACGCAAGGGGTAGTTTTCTTTGCTTCTATAGTCTGCAAGACTCGGGGACCCCCGGGCGGCCTTATCATACCTTGCCGCAGCCTCCTTCTCTCTCCCCCCCCTGGGGTCAGGAGGGTGCCTGGCTACCGGTGGAGCGGCCGAGGTCCATGACGGAGGCTCGAGGATCCACCATGCTGGGCATTTCTTCACGAAGATCGAGGATCGAGGTTCGAGACGCGAGGCTGGAGGCTCGAGGCTCGAGGCTCGAGGCCGCTCGAGGTTCGAGAATCGAGGCTCGAGGATCGAGAAGGTCTAACGCTTTCGAACCTCCGTTGGCCTCCCCCCCCAATCCCCGCGCGGCGCGCGGCGGAGCATCGGAGAGGTGACGGACCGCGCCCTGGCCGGCCTCGCGGGCGCGCTCCGCGCTGCGGGCAGGCTGCGCAGTCCCGCCCTCAGAGGTTGGGGGCAAGTCGGCTGACCCCGACGACGACGACGACGACGACGACGACGACGACGACGACGACGCAGTCGACGAAACCGACGAGGGCGACGACGACTAAGTTGACGAAGTCGACGACGACGACAACGACGACGACAACGAGGTCGACAAGGCACAAGGCCGACGAAGTCGAATACATCGGCGACGACCACGACCACGACCACGACCACGACCACGACGACGACGACGACGACGACGACGACGACGACGACGACGACGACGACGAGGGGCCCCTCGTTGGCGGACGTCAGCCGACCACCTGGCGGACGTCAGCTGACCACCTGACCTCTCGGGACCCAGGGGGGGCGGGGTGCCCTGGGGCGCCACGGGGATGGCCGCATCCGCCCCCCCTCGGGGGCGTCCATCGCTCGGACGTGTGCCATTTTCGAGGCGACGACCCTCGAAGAGAATGGTGGCTAACCCTGCCGAAAAATGCGCGCACGAAGCCGAAACATGCACGGGGAATGGACGTCCGAGCCCAGTGCCATCACGGGTCGATATGGCTTGAAGGGTGCAGCAGAAGAGCGTGGCCGAGGCTTCAGCTTGTGATTGTTCGCTATGCTGTAATTGTTTGCGGCTCGCACCTCAAGCTATGTTTCCCTCCTGGCCTGGACAGTGGGTCGCGGACGCCGGTCCAGGGCCCAGGAGCGGCCCAGCCTGTATCAGTATCGGTGAGGTGGTCAGTTGACGTCCGCCGAAGACGGTCCCCTCGTCGTCGTCATCGTCGTCGCCGTTTTCGTCGATTTCTACGTCGTATTGCCATCGTGTTTGGCAACGTCGTCGATTCGGTTGATTTCGCTGGCTTCGTCAACTTCGTCGTCGTCGTCTTTTTCCTTGACTTCGTCGGCTTTGTCGGCTTCGTCGACCCCGTCGTTGTCGTCGTCGTCGACGTCGTTCTCGTCGCCGTCATCGTCCTCGTCGTCCTCGTCGTTGTGTTCGTCCGCTTTGTCTTCGTCGTCGTCGTTTTCGCCGACTTCGCGTCGTCGTCGTCGTTGTCGTCGTTTGCCGACTTCGTCGTCGTGTGTAACCGCTCGCGGGCTCACCAGTTTTCTGTACAACACCTCCGGCTCACCATTGTACACCCTCCTGGTGTGTGCGAACATTTACAATTGAAGGGACGATGTGTGGACCCGCGCGTTGTCCGCTCCAGAAACTCACTGTGGTGGCATCGCGTGTCCTAGGCCTGGTGTCTCACTGTGTCCAACGGCTAGATCGCAAGAGATCGGAGATCGGCCGAGTACGAAGCGTTGTGGTTACTGTATTCTTGTCCCGTTCGGCCAGCGGAGATGTTAACACAAAGCCATTGCCAACTGTCCCTGGCCTCGCCCTCCCCTGCCTCCTCGTTATGATGGCTCCTCCTCCTCCTCCTCCTCCTCCTCCTCCACCTTGGGCTTGCGATGTTCGAAGACAGTTTTGAGACAGCTGCCAGTGGCTACCGCACTTCAGTGCCAGGCGGAGTCTGGAGGTTCTTCCATGACCGCCGTTGGTTTGCCGATTGCGTTGGAAACGCCTGGGCCATGGCGGGAGCGCTTTTCGAAGGGGTCGGCGCGAGGGCGCGAGGGCGCGGCGACGATCGCGGGTCGCGCATCGCGGGGCGGGATGCGCAAAGTCATGTGGTCTAAGGAATCCAACTCGAGGCCCTCGGGCGGCCAACTCCCGCAACCTCCTGCCTCCGCAGCGCCTTCGTTTTCGCGCCGCTCAACCCCCTCGTTCGCGCAGCAGTGCCAGGAGGCTGGATGCACGTGATGCGGCCGGCCTGGGCCAGAGCTGGACACGCGCATCGGCTTCTAAGATTGGTGGCGTAGACGTTAGCACCAGCACCAGTATCGGCGGCTGACCCCATCGAGGAGAGATGATCCTGATCTCGGTTTTGTGGGTATGTCAGATTCGGACGTCCTAGGTGGCCAAGAGATTACCACCGGCACGACCATCCAGTATCATCTCCCCTTGGTGGATGCAAACCCTTGTGTTGGTGTTGGTGCGAGCCCAAACAAGAATGTCCTATCGCCGGAGTGACCTCTGGCGCGGGTCGACATTTCGGGCGACCTAAAGCCGCCTCCGCGAACTGCGCCGACGTCGACAATTCATGCCCGCACTCACGTGCGTCGGCCAGGCGTCGGAGCGACCCTTCGCCGGAGTGAACTCTGGCGCGGGCCCAGAGGCCCCCCCTCCTCCCCCAGCACTGGCCCGCGCGCGGCGACCACGTCACAACCCGTCTGCGGGCGCCCGAGGTGTCCCGCGAGGTCGGCGTGCGTGATCCGCTTCCTGGAGGCAGGCTAGTTGCCCAGGCCGCTCCTCTCTCTTCTGAGCATCGTCTACCCAGACCCCACCCCCATGGCCGTGGCCTGGGCCCCTGGATGTGCACCCCCCACGCACAGACCTGGATTAGAACTCGCCATCCCTGGGGAGCAGGACCCTTCATCCACATGTTTTGATGTCGTCAGGACCTTCCCGCAGCGGCCCACATGCGCCACGCGTTGGAGGCCACTCTTGCCCGCAGGGCCGCCCGTGCGCGCCGCCGAGCGTGGCGCCGGTCTTCCCTCCGGCGCTCGGCCCGCTACGGTGGGGCACGCAGGGCTTCCGCACGTGTGACCCACGCGTGGCCTTTGGTCACGCTTCGGTGATTCAGAGATTCGGTGGAGGAAAAGGTACCCATACTTCTACACCCCGGGAGAGGTCGGTACCTTTTGGTTTCCCCAGAGAGATGGGTTCCTGAGGGATTGGGCCCTAAGGATAGGGAAGGGTCGTAGGGTGAACTTACACTGTCTGAGGCACCTCGCCCGTACGACCCCATCCCTCAGGACCCCATCCTTGACCCCCCGATGTTCCGCGTGTGATTCCAGCCGTGTGTTTTTGGGGCCTCCTGATGGGCCCCAGGGGGGGCCGGGGTAGTTAATGCTGTCATGCTGCTTTCGGTGAGCCGGGGGGGGGCTCCATGGGTCACAGAGATCCGATGTCTTGAGTTGTTCAATGCGGGTTCCCCGCAGGTCCCGACCCTTTCCCCAGGGCCAGCTTCGCTTTTTGACGGCCCCGAGAGGCCCGCCCAGGGGCCCCAGGGGGCCGCAAGCGGAGAGAAGCCTTCGTCTTTCTCTCCGCTCGCCGCCTCTCTGGTCAGCTCCGTACCGGTCTGCTTGCGGTGTGCTGCCCTGCCGGCTGCGGCGCCGCGGCGCCGCGGGCGCGGAGAGGCGCGCGCGCGCGCCGCTGAGGCTTCGCCCTGCGGGTGGAGGCCTGCAGGCGCCGAGCCGCGGCGGGTGGAGGCCCGGCGGGTGGAGGCCCGGCGGGAGGGTCGGAGGCGACGACCTCAGGTCGGGCCTGGCGCAGACTGGGCCGGGCAGCGATGACGATCACAGCGATCACAGCGATGGCGGTCACAAGGGTCACAACGATGACGGTCACAACGGTCACAACGATGACGGACACAGCGATCACAACGATCGCCACGGTGACAACGATCGCAACGACCACAACGTTAACAACGAGCGATGCGATCGTTGTGATCGTGGTGGTCGTTCCCGTTGTTATCGTTGTCATCCTGGACAGGGGCCCACCCGTCATGGGGCTCGTTCTGTACCACGAGAGAGGAGCTCGCGGCACATCGGCGAGCCCGGTGACGCCCTCGGGCGTCCGCGCGGGCGAGGGTCGCCGCCGACGCTGGTCCCATCTGGCTGACCGCGTGCTGGAAAGCAATGCCAAGGCGACCCCCTCCCTCTACAGGGTCCGGCTTGAATAAGGAACACTTGCTTTTCAGAAGGGGCTCGGTCGTTCCTTTGGTTTGAGTGCGTTCCGCTACCTTTTTGGCGGCGAGCCCCCTGGGTGATCGTTCGGACTTCCAAGAATTACCTGGAAAGAAGGGGCTTCGTTCCTTATCTATCGTTCCTCAGGTCAGGCCGAATGCTGTACGGAGTCGGCTGGAGGCCTGAGGTGGCCCAGCATTGGTTCCGACCAGCAGGAAGGGGTTCGAGGTTCTGGGTTCGGGAAGGTTTTTCACGTTTTTCAGCCTCCAGGAGCCGTCTTCGGGCCCCCAGACTGTCAAAAACGGATCCGTGGTGAACATTTGCACCGCATGGACCCCAGGAGGGGTCCAGGGAACGGTTTTGATTGGATTTTCCGTAGCCGTTTTGGCTGCACGAGACCTGACCTTACTGGCGTGGGGGAGTCCGCGGCCCCATCTGTGACGCCTCACTGCTTGGTCAGGGAGGCATTTTGCTTTGCAGAGCTGGTTCTCCCCAGCTACTGCTGCTTTCTCTCACGTGTCGCGCGCGCGGCTAGTGGTCCCAGATCCGCCCAAGGGGCCTCCTCGTCAGGCGCGTGACCGCCCGCATTCGCAGAGTGGTTACAAGACGTGGTATGGCAAGAACTCGTGCGGCTACCAGTATAACTTGGTGGAGTGGAGCAGGTGCTTTCGCTGTACGAAGTGGATTCGTGATATTGTTGTTCGTGACACCATCCAAGGGCCCCCGAGACCCTGGAGAAGAACGGGCGAGCAGCAAGCACAAGATGCATGGCAACTGGTGGGCAAAAGTGGCCGTGGCCGCAAAGGAGGTTCCGTGCCCGATCATGAAGCTGCTGAGTCCCCAAATGCACCCTCGAAGCCTGGCCCTTGGCATGACAAAGGTGGCTCAGCCGCTCGTGCCAAAGGAAAAGGAGTCGACAACAGGGCAGCCAAGCAGGAATATCTTTCGGCCGCCATCGAGCAGCTCACACTGGCAGGCCTTGGGCCCGAACACCCGCTGGTTGTGGCTGCCAAGGCCCAGATTCCCATCGTGTCCGCCACACCTGACGTCAACCAGGGCCAGACGCCTTGGATGCGGGTGCGGTCACATCAGGACAAGTTGGCCCACTACCAGGGCCAGCTTCAGGCAGCGAAGTCCACTGAGGTTTCGACCAAGCAGAAGCAGGCTGAGCTCGAGCAGGACTTGGCGGAGTGCATCGAGTCTCAGCAGAAGTTGGCGGAGTCCGTCAGGAGGAGGAGTTGCAGCGGCTACATCGCCGCGCTGTCCTTCATCCTGTGGGTGCTGATGGGAAGTCGGCAATTTCAGGCTTGGTCGAGACATTGTTTGGCCATCTTCCTGCAGGTTTCAAGTCGGCTAAGGCGGCCCAGTTCCAGTCAGTGGTCGACCTCTTGGGCGACCTGTCCGCGGCGGGGCTCCAATTTCAGCAGGGGGAGGAGGCGCGCCAGCGGCAGGCGGCCGAGGCAGCGGCCCAGCGGGCGGCTGCAGGCGGCGACGCAGGTGATGCTGGGGCTACTTCGACATCGGCTATCGATTCCAGGGTGGCCGAGGATTGCAAGCAGCAGCTCCATGAGCTCATGCAGGGTGGCAAGGCTGGGCAGCACGAGGGCCTCTTCAAGACAATGCTCGAGTTCCTGGAGAACCCCACGGCCCTCGCCAAGCGACCCAGACGTGACCCCCCAGCGCCTGCGGCTGCAGCTGCACCTGACGTTCATCATGTTCCAGGTGCTGGGGCTGGCCAAGGCGCTGGTGCTGATGTGTCCGCAGCTGCTGGTGATGGATACAAGGGGGGTAAAATGCTCGGCAAGAAGTCCGAGGCGGCGCTGCGTTCTCTCTCTCGAGATCTCGTTCGGCGCCTGGCCCAATTTCATGTACACTTGAGGTCTTGGCGGGCACGAGAGGCAGGTCCGCCAGGACCGCGACCGCTTCGGAGGAGGTCGCGGGGAAGCAAGGTGCCCAGATCGAAGCTGGAGCCTTGCGAGGAGGACTGGAGACTCGTGCTCGCCAGCCTGGTTCCCATCCTCAGGCGGGTTCTTTCGCATCTTCGGCACCTCCAGCGGAGGGCTATATTTCAACCACGCCTGTGCGTCTTAGGCGTCCTGAGGTTTTGAGGGCCTGTTCGTCTAATATTACTTCGTGGGGAGTGGAGTGCGACAAGGGCTCCAGGGTCTCCCCCAGGCCTCTCCTTGAGGTGATTGACGCCGTGGAGTCCGATTTGGTTTTGTTCCGGGAGCATCGCCAGTCTGAGTTTCAGCTGGCAGACGTCCAGCATGCTCTACTGCTGAAGGCAGGGCTGAGCTCTTTGCTATCCCCAGCGGCGCCGTCGGGTCGTTCAGAGTCTGGCACGTCTGGAGGAGTGGGCATGGCTACACCGAAGCTATGGGGCTTCAAAGGCCCCGACGCTCTCCCCCCTGGTATCGCTCTACCTCCTGATCATCGGTTTCGGTTAAGGCTCTGGAGCGGTTTCTGCACGGGCGGAGCAGTTGTCGGTTCGGTATATTTACACACGGGGATCGGCTGCAGGGATCAGAACCTCACCCTCCTCCACAAATTGGGGGGCTTCTTCGTGCGTACGGGGTGCCATTCATACTGGGAGGAGATTTCCAGTTCCCTGGTGAGCAGCTTATTGAGTCTGGGTGGCTATGGGGACCTCCAGACTGACGTGGTGTTCGGTGATTCTCAGTGGACGTGCCAGCTTGGAACATCTCGATCATCTGTCGACCATATTTGCTGTATCGAATGTGCTCAAGCCTTTCGTTGACCGCTGCTGTGTGGCGACATGGTCGACTTGCACGAGGCCGCTCCGCCCAGTTGCGCTGACAATCAGTGGCAGCCCCAGGCAGGCGACGGTACCCAGGCTGAAGAAACCATCGGCGCTCCCGTTATTTCGTCCTATTGGGTGCGACCCCAGGCCATTGGAATGGGATGATCTCTTGGATGTTTTCAAGAACGGCAAGTGTTCCAAGGGTGTTTTGGATACTGCCACCTCCCAGTGGGCTCAGAGGGCCGAACTTACTTTAACTCGTGTTCCCCAGGTGGGAGGCGATCCACGCTATCGAGGACGAGGAAGCCCCCCCCCCCCCAAGTGGTCCAGGCCCCCCTCCTGGGCCCGCCCACGTCCACTCACCCTCGTGCCATCGGCGAAGGTCGGATGTGGCGGGTTTTTGAGAGGCGGCTCCAGGACCTTCTGTATCTCTGGCATGGGCCACGGCCTACCTTGGGGGGGTTACATCAAGCTGGGCTGATTCTCAGGAAGTTGGTGAACTATGCGCCCCCGTTCACTGAGTGCAAGCACTGGGGGTCCTGGGGGCTTAGGATTTTGGCAGTCAGCCCTGCTGCGACCTCGGAGCTCAACGAGTTGATTTGGCAGGTCCGCAAGCGGGCCCAAGCGCATGAGCACCATGCGGCCTCGGAGAGGGCCAGGGCTTGGAGAAACTGGGCGGCTGAGGCTCTCACTGGTGGGGCTCGTCTTGAGCACAGGTACACGAAAGAGGTTCCCAAATGGGCGGCGCGTGGGCTATCACAGCCCTCAGGGCCTAACGGTGCCCCTCTGGGCGTCTTGGAAGAAGCCGAAGCACGAGCTCAAAGTTGGCGCAAACACTGGGGGGTAGGACAAGCGTTTCCTGATCCTGGTTTCAGCTGGCGCGAAGATGAACCCGAGCTCGAGCCACCGACGCACGAGGAGCTTGCAGCCCTGATTCGATCTTGCAGTACGCACGCGGCCGTGGGGGTATGTGGGTTTCATCCTCGGCACTGGTCTTTTTTCGGCGAAGGCGCCGTTGCTGTATTCTTGTGCACCTGGGAGCAGATGCAGCGCATGTTCCACGTGCCCAGGTGTTGGGCATTGCTGCTCATCGCTCTTCTGCCCAAGCCACCGCTAGACGGAGGGGATCGGCCTATCGGTATCTTCCCGTCTCCTCTCAGGATGTGGTCCAGATGGGCCCGCTGGACAGTTGCTGGCCCCTGGAAGACCGGTCGCCCTCGGAGTTTTTGGTTTGGCGATTCGGGGGCGTCATGTGATAGTTGCGTTTGGAAGCAGAGCTTCAAGGCGGAGTTGGCTCGGGACCAGGGCAAGGCGGCAGGGTCTACGCTACTAGACTTGGTCAAGGCATATGAACATGTGCCTCATCATGCGATCGCTGCTGCCACCCGTAGACATCAGTTCTCTGGAAAAACGCTACAGCCTGGGCAGGATGGTTTGATTCGAAATGATTGCGACAGAGGTGGTCTCGACCAATCGGACGATCGTCGCAGGTTGCAGTTGTGCTACTTCGTTGCTGCGACTCGTGCTCCTCTCTCCTGCTGATGCCGTTGTTCAGCGTTATGCGTCCGTCGATCTCGCGATTGTGGTCGATGACTTGCAGCTGCAAAGGGTAGGGGATGCTTGGGAAGCGGCCCATGATCTAAAGGGCGCTGAGAACCTCCTCACCTGAGCTGCCCCAGATAGGGCTCAACCTGTCGCCCCCCAAGAAGCACCAGACGGTCGTCGGTCAGAACCTTCGGAGCGTCGTTCGCA